GACTTCACGCTAACTTCGCGCATTTTTCACCCTGTTCCGTTCCGAATTTGGAACAACGTAAAGCATGAAAGTTGTAGCCCTTTGAGTTAGCTTTCCAACCATATATTGTGGAGCTAAAATGGAGTTCTGAGCAAAAAGTTATATCTATTTTATTATACAGTGCACAATATGCCTACTGGAGTCTTCGTTCGCTCTAACTATCATCCGTTGACCCCCAAACACGATCCCGGCTTAATTCCTTGAACTTTTACTCAAACTTTAAAGCTCCAAATCACTTGAATTCATTCCATAACATCTATATAGCTCGGAATCACTCCTACAAGGTATAAAACACACCATTAGTGCAAGACACTAGCGATTAAAGCTCAAACTCAATTAGGCATAAATATAATACAATTTAGCATTAAAACATCAAAATGTAAAGTAAGTAATGCACTAAAAATATGGAATTATAGCCAAACATCACTACCCCACACTTAAACGTTGCTCGTCCTCGAGTCAACTAACAATTCACACTATCCTTGTGCACTTTGTTTTTACACAATTGAGGCACACTACACCAATGACCATGGTTGATAGCAACAATTAAACATTAGCATATACACTTACCTTTTTCTTATGCCAACTTCAAAAATATTCAGACAAAGACAACATGCTCATAACAATCCTAGCCTCACAAACCGAATCAATGTCACAATGTACTCATGGCTTGAACACCCAAAATCATAGAGAGAGCTAATAATGTTACCTATCCCTCGTGTAACCATGTGCCCTCACAACAAAAGCAAAGAGAGTAAAATCAATCCACACATTCAAATCTCATGCTCACATATATCAAAGAAAATCACTCACTCTCACAAAAGAAGTCACATGCATGTAATTGGTACCATAGGCTTGCCCTTAATGTAAATCTCTACTAATGTAGGCTCGCTCGATCTAAAATAAATTAGGTCTTTTTCATGGTTGTAATGTGGGCTAAGGGACGGGCAGGATATATTTAGCAATAGTGACTAACCCTCCTAAGCACTTTAACACACCACATAATCAACTTTAAGCGCAAATTCTTCAATCCACTTTACTTTCACAAACAATATCACCCCAAAAATACTCCCTTCTTCTTTAAGCACTACATTAATTCATACCCACTAGCAGGAACAAGACAACAATGTATTCATCTCTATTTTTTTTTTCCAGATTATTCTTTTTTTTAATTTCCGCTAGTGGTGTATTATTTTACAAAACAAGTGCACCTTTCTTCCTTTTATTGGCTCCACTCAAAAGTCACCCCACTCTTAGTTCCTTCTTACTTCTTTTAGCGCTCATCTCACAATTAAAAGTGCTTTAAGAGGAAAAGGGATCAAAACAATGTCAATTAAGAATAAAAAGGGTATAGGCTTGTAATGTGGGTGCCAAATAAAAGTCTATAGGCTCAAAAGGGTTAATTAGGGATAAATTTTATTTATGATAAGCAATAAGCTCAAAAAGATCAAAGAAAGCCTAAAATTATTTTTCAAACCGAACATCACCTAAAATTTCGCTTCAACTCACATACCGAGCAAGTTCTAGACACAAGTACAATACATAGACTATACAAAAATCTCACCACACATGGCACATGACTTACTAAGAACGGTCTCATTCCGACTCTCAAACAAATGCAAGTATTCACGGAGCCACGAGATATTAAGCATGAAGCACAAAGTGAACACAAGTCAAGATAACGAGACATAGGCATCACAAGACATGCTATCGAACTAAGCAAGGCATCATCAATAATTTCAAATCATAGGGAAGATACTACGCATGCCAAATCCTAAATATGTTACTATCAAACAAGTCAAGGGCACCTACGTTCATCATTCTTCCTCCATTTATTCCCTAAATTCTAATCTACTCTAAAAAAAAATACTACTACCCGGTTCAAACTACATCCCATGGAAAAGAACCGTTGCACAAAGAAAAACCATGAGGGATTATTGCTACCTAAAAAAATAAAAGACACATTTTTGGATTTTTTCTATTTTTTCATTTTTTTATTGGACCTTAATCCCTCAAGAAAGCTGTCCACAAAATCCATCGCCGGGAAAAGTCCAAATTTCTCGAAATTTTTGTTGTTTTTTTTTAACAAAAATTACTACACTAAGAACGAGTACTATAACTAAGCTAACATAGAACAGAAAATCACTCAGACAATCTCCTTACCCCACACTTAAAATTATGCAATGTCCTCAATGCACACTGTAAATAACAAGAGGGTAAAAGAGACTCCCTGGTAGGCCAAAGGCCGAAGCATTAGCAGCTCACGGGATACTCAGACTTCTCCCAGGTACAGTCCTTTATGCGGGAACCCCACACTTAGTTCTAACCACATAGCTCACTTTTGCACACTTTCTGTGGATTTGCTCCCTATGCTCAAAATCCTACAAAATAAAACAACACTACAAAAATAATACAATAAGAAAAAGATCAAAAATAAAAAGAAAGCAGTAAAGCTGGGTTGCCTCCCAACAAGCGCCTAATTTAACGTCGCGGCACGACGTGAACCAATTTTTGTCTCCACCTTGAACTTATGAATTGTACCCCTAACATGGCATCCAGTCTATGGCTATGCTCCTTTGGTGGGGCTACAAAGATAACCAGGCCAAGTAATAAATTTTTCTTTCTGCACTTCTCGGCCTTTAGATGAGGAATGTAATTTTCGCTTTTTGGCACAACAAATTCAAGAATATAGGCACTCTCTTCCTCACTCTTTGACCCCTTCATTGGCTCAGATGGCTCGATTACTATCTTACGATCTAAACACAATGTGGAAAAATGATTGGAATGAGGTCTAATGCGCTCTAACTCATGAATTTTACTACTATTTGCATCCCCATATTTACACACACTCAAGTCTCCCAAAGTAATGTTATCTACTCCCTCACATGACTCTAGAGCACTCTTCTCAATATTGGCATCCTCAAGAAAAACATGGTCTAATGATTGGTATTCTCGTTTTAGCTCCTCAATTTGGTCTAGAAGATTTTTTTCAGCTTCACACAACTCATTATTAAATTATTTGGCGTTATACGCATCAACCTTTGTGCTCAAATCTGCATCTAAGTTATGCACAGCCAAGCTAAAATTATCAATTTTATGTGCAAGTTCATCTCTATCCTTAGACCAATCATTCACCAACGTTGTTAGAAGACAACGTCGTTCCTCATATTCCCTTAATCGTGAATATTCTTCCCAATACCAACCCTTACTCCCATATTCAAATTCAGACCTCCAAGAAGTCAGGCCATGACAAGACCAAAAATACGAGCCATAAAAGTCTTTTGTCAACCAAGAGTCTTCATCAATAGCCTTACCTCCGTATATTTCATCCCCAGATGTCATGCTGAGAGAACTAGGAACACACTAAGAGAAAAATATCAAATATTTGTAAAAATAAAAGTATATACCAAAAAAGGATAAAATTTAAAGTCTAATCTAGAAAAATAGTTAATTTCTAAGTCCCCGGCAACGGCGCCAAAAACTTGTTGCGGCCAAACGCACACGCAAGTATACGCGATCGTCAAGTAATAAAGTGACTAAACGTCGGATGTCGAACCCACGAGGACTTATGATCAACTATTAACTAAATTAGACTATCCTAATTATCTATACAAGAATTAAACCAAGAAGTATTTGATTCTAAATTAATTAAAATAAATAAAAACAAATAATGAACTTTGGACAGAGAGAGAGCAGATTCTTATGATATCAATGTAATGAAAACGATCTAGGGTTATGGGCTATCTAACATTCCTATTGTATTCTTCAATTGAATTAACTAACTAATTTATCTAGTTTATTGGTTGACATGGTTAATATTGCTCATAAGAATCTGTCGAGTTCTTACTCGCCTATTCAAGCTAACCTAACTCCTATATGTCTATGGAATTAGAATCAACAAGAATGCATTTATAATTCCTGTAAATCAACCAAGCAAGGCAATTAGGTATATGTCTATCCTAACCGCGAATCCGTTCCCCGATGCCCAGGTTCAAGAACTTGATCTACTCAATCCTATATGCAATCTAGAATTCCCACTTTCGAGTTCAACTCTAGATTCGTAAATAGTATTCAATTGGTGATCAAGCAATCAAATAATTAAGTGCAAGATTGAATAAATAAACCAATATGATAAACTAAGAAATCAAAATCAATATCCGAATAACAATAGTCATGAAAAAACACAACCCTAGAACGTGAAGTTTAGATCCACATAGACATGGTAGCAAAACAACAAATCATACAAAGAAACATAAAAAGACTAAGTTGGTGGAAGAAAAGATGAAACCCGGCCTCCACGGCGGCTCTGTGCTTGTGTTTTCCTCTCAAAAACGTCCTCCTCCCTCAAAATACCGTTTTTCCATGTATATATACCAAGTAGGGTTGGGCCCAAACAATTATACCTTCTCCAATGTGAAAAAGGACATTTTTCCCGGGTGACTAGCGCGACTTCGCGCTAACTTCGTGCTAGTTTCCTGACATTCTGCTTCTAGCTTCTAGACTAGCGCGACTTCGCGCTAACTTCGCGCATTTTTCACCCTGTTCCGTTCCGAATTTGGAACAACGTAAAACATGAAAGTTGTAGCCCTTTGAGTTAGCTTTCCAACCATATATTGTGGAGCTAAAATGGAGTTCTGAGCAAAAAGTTATATCTATTTTACTAGACAGTGTGCAATATGCCTACTGGAGTCTTCGTTCGCTCTAACTATCATCCGTTGACCCCCAAACTGAACTTTTACACAAACTTTAAAGCTCCAAATCACTTTAATTCATTCCATAACATCTATATAGCTCGGAATCACTCCTACAAGGCATAAAACACACCATTATTTCAAGACACTAGCGATTAAAGCTCAAACTCAATTAGGCATAAATATAATACAATTTAGCATTAAAACATCAAAATGTAAAGTAAGTAATGCACTAAAAATATGGAATTATAGCCAAACATCAGCGATCAGATGAGGGAGCATCAAGAAAGGGTCGATAAGATACCAGGTGCCCCAAAGTTGCTGCCAAAGGGAGATGTTGGTCGGTTGGTCGAACAACCATACAGCGAAGAAGCAGCTCCATATGCCATTCCCAAAACCTTCAAAATGCCACCGTACCTGAAGATATACGACGGTACTACAGACCCCGAGGATCACATCATCCACTACGTCACAGCGGTGAAGGGCCACGACCTTTCAAAAGAACAAATACCATTAGTGCTACTGAAAATTTTTGGCGAAACCCTGACGGAGGGAGCCTTAACATGGTATTCACAACTGCCGGCGCGGTCAATAGCAATGTTCGAGGAAATGGCCGATAAGTTCTTCACTACCCACGCAGGGGCTAAAAAGGCTGAAGCTAGGGTGAACAACATATTCGCCGTTAGGCAATCGCCTGGCGAAGGACTCAGAGACTTCCTCGCCCGATTTAACAGAGTGAGAATGAGCCTGCCAAATGTATCGGAAGGGATGGCGGTAGCAGCCTTCCGGAACGGGTTGAATAGGAACGGGTCAAGGGCAACCAGAAAACTACTGAGCAGGCTCATGAAATACCCTCCCACCACTTGGGAGGAAATTCACAATGCCTATTGCGCCGAGGTAAGAGCCAACGAGGACGACCTTAACGGTCCAATCCAACGGCTAACATCAGTTCAAACAAAGCCGAGGAAAGATCGTTGCAACGACGGTCGAAGAGATCAGTCAGGCCCCCGTCTCAACCGAAAAAGACACCATCCCTACGTCAGAACAGCCATCCCACCATCTCCCCGACATGCAGAAGGGCCACCCAGGCCGCATACAGGGACTCAACGAAACAAAAGAGGTATGCCTCCACTCTTATCCGCTCACAATTTATGTGTTTCCCCTTCAGAAATAGTGTACGCATTAGAGAAGCTTGGCACAAAGGTGAAATGGCCATAAAAGATGAAGTCCGATCTAAGTACACGAAAGTCGAACGTCCTCTATGAATTCCACCGGGAGCGGGGTCACAAGACTGAGGACTGCATAGCTCTACGACAAGAGGTAGTAAACATGCTGAACCAAGGGCACCTGAAGGAACCGATGAGCAACCGTGGGTGAGCCAATTTCGGCCGCAAGCGAGAATAACACCAGGGACCTCTAAAGCCGCCGTCCCCCGCTCGCACCATTCAAATGATCATCAGCAAAGGCGATGAAGCAGCTGTCAACCACGTGAAGTTTACAACCACACACAAACTCAAGCGATCGATCACGCACGAACGATACGACGACTTCAGAGACAGTATCATCTTCGATAAGTCAGATACCAACGGTTTGACTTCCCCTCATTTCGATGCTCTTTTTATTACTTTACGTATTTCAGATACTGATGTGAAAAGAATAATGGTTGACAACGGAAGCGGCACGTGTATTATCCACCCTCGAGTCCTCATACAAATGAGACTCGAAGACAGGTTGTACCGCGTTGCATAACGCTAACGGGTTTTAATAATGCAGTTGAGCAAACATCCGGGGAGATAATGCTGCCCATTTTGGCCGGGGGTGTCACTTTGGAAACAACGTTCCACGTCATGAACCAGGATACAACTTACAACGCCATCATAGGGCGGCCATGGATTCATGCCATGAGAGCCACACCGTCCAGCCTATACCAAGTAATAAAGTTCCCTACTCTATGAGGAATATTCAGCATCCGAGGTGAGCAACGTATCACCCAAGAATGCTATTGCATCGCCCAAGACCACACATACACCCAACAACTAAAAGGAGCAGGCTCGGAAGCATAGCAATCACCGAAGTCGGGGATCGGACCCGATATGCAGACAAACGTCATCAGGGACCCCGACACCGTGGAAGCTGCTGAATCAATGATAGATGATCTTGATCCCGTCCAACTAGATAGCAGAGACGTCAACAAAAAGGATTACATCGGACACAAGCTCTCAGAACCAGGTAAATTTCATGAATTTTTAATTGATTACGCCGATTTGTTTGCTTTCTCCCATGCAGATATGCCAGGCATCCCAAAAGACATTGCCACCCACAAGATATGTCGACCCGCTTTATCCACCAGTGCGGCAAGTAAGAAGAAAATTCAACGCCGCAATCAACGAGGTTGTTAGTGATGAAGTAGAAAAGCTACTCGCCAACGGTTCCATCGGGGATCAAAGTATCCCCAGTGGGTCGCCAATGTGGTCATGGTATAAAAGAAAAACGGGAAATGGCGGATGTGCGTAGATTTCAGAGACCTAAACAAAGCATGCCCAAAAGACTCCTTCCTATTGCCTCACATCAACCAGCTCATCGACGCAATGGCAGGGCACGAATTGTTAAGTTTCTTAGACGCCTACTCAGGTTACAACCAAATCCTCATGGAGGAGGAAGATCAGGAGAAAACTACTTTCATCACCCATCAGGGGACGTACTGTTACAGAGTCATGCCGTTCGAGTTAAAAAATGCAGGAGCAACGTACCAAAGGTTGGTTACCAAGATGTTCAAAGACCAACTCGGCAAGACAATGGAAGTCTACATCAACGATATGCTGGTCAAGTCAAAAAGGAAAGAAGATCACATCGACCACCTTAAAGAGGCCTTCGGTATATTAAGGTGGTATGGCATGAAACTGAACCCCAAAAAATGTGCCTTCGGCTTAACCTCAGGCAAATTTCTCGGTTTCTTGGTATCACAAATAGGCATCGAAGTCAATCCAAACCAGATCAAAGCCATTGAAGGAATACCTGAGGTGTTGACCAGCAAGAAATAGGTGCAAAAACTAACTGGCCGTATAGCCGCCCTGTCGAGATTCATCTCACGGTTATCCGACAGGTGCCATAAATTCTTCAACGTGCTGAAAAAAGATAACGGGCTCCAACGGAACTCGGAATGCGTCGGGGCTTTGTCCTCGCCTCCACTGCTCGCCAAAGCAGAACCCGGTGAGCGCCTCCTAATCTACCTGGCCGTCTCAGAAGTCACGGTAAGTGCAGTATTGGTCCGCAAAAATAAAGGTACGCAGTCTCCAATTTATTATATCAGCAAAACCCTGGTCGATGCCGAAACGAGGTACCCTCACCTCAAAAAATTGGCTCTAGCACTGTTCATAGCTTCAAGAAAGCTTAGACCCTACTTCCAGTGCCACCCCATATCGGTAGTAACGACCTTCCCCCTGCGGAGCATCCTACAAAAACCCGAACTGTCGGGAAGGCTGGCTAAGTAGGCCATAGAATTGAGCGAGCATGATATAACATATCAGCCGCGAACAGCGATAAAATCGCAGGTACTCGCCGATTTCGTTGCCGATTTCAGTACCAAAATAATGTCCGAGGTCGAGCAGGAAACGCTCCGTACTACCCATGGCAACCCAACCTCTGGGTCCTTACACCGACGGCGCATCTAATGCGTCGGGATCGAGACTGGGACTCGTACTCGAAGTCCCAACAGGCGAAGTTATCCGCCAATCCATACGGTGCCCCGAAATGACTAACAACGAGGCTGAGTATGAGGCCGTAATTGTAGGATTAAAGCTAGCCCTCAAAAACGGAGCACGACGAGTCGTCCTCAGATGCGACTTACAACTCATCGTCAACCAAGTCACGGGGACTTTCCAAATCACGGAGCAAAGGCTACAGAAATATCAAGCAGAAATTCATAAACTACTGCTAGAATTCGATGAATGTCGACTCGACTAGATACCTCAGGCGCAAAATATCGAGACAAATGGCCTCGCCAAACTGGCAGCGGCGACCAAAAATATCACCAAGGAGAATGTGGTCACCCTCCTCCACTCGTTAATAGACCAACTTGAGGTACATTCCATAAATTTGACTTGGGACTGGCGCAACCGCATCATGACATATTTACAGGAGGGAGTACTCCCTCAAGATAAAAAGGAAACCAAAAAGCTTCGAATGCAAGCGGCCAGGTACAACATTATTAATCACGACCTATACAAGAGAACGTTCGGAGGCCCCTTGGTGAAATGCCTAGGGCTGAATCAGACAAGGCGCATGCTCGAAGAATTACACGAAGGCCATTGCGGTGCCCATACAGGAAACAGAGCCCTCGTCAGATGCCTCATTCGGGCAGGATATTACTGGCCCACTATGAAAAAGGAAGCCGCAGATTATGTCAAAAGATGCAAACAGTGCCAAAAATACGCACCTATGATACATCAAGCGGGCTAACACCTCCACTCTGTTACTTCGCCATGGCCGTTCATCAAATGGGGAATGGACATCGTCGGATCGCTCCCAGCAGGTCGAGGTAAGATACGTTTCCTTTTAGTTTTAACTGACTACTTTTCCAAATGGGTGGAAGCAGGTGTGTTCACCCAAATACGCGAACAGGAAGTCATCGCAGTCATATGGAAGAACATCATATGCCGTTTCGACATTCCTAAAGAGATCAGCTGTGACAATGGGCCCCAATTCACCGGGAAGAAGACCACCGAGTTCTTCGAAAAATGGCACATCAAGAGAATACTCTCCACAACATACCATCCCGCCGGCAATGGTCAGGCCGAATCCTCCAACAAGACAATACTGAACATCTTAAAGAAAAAGCTCGAGGAGACTAAAGGGTTATAGCCGAAATTGCTACCAGAGGTACTATAGGCCTGCCGCACCATGCCGAAAACACGCACAGGCGAAATGCCATATTTACCAGTCTACGGGACTGACGCCATGACACCTGTTGAGGTCGGAGAGCCTAGCCTAAGATACTCCAATTAAAGTGGACAAGACAACGTACGAGAACAGAAAACAATTAAAGTGGACAAGACAACGTACGAGAACAGAAAACAAGACCTCGACGAGGCAGAAGAACGAAGAGACATGGCTTACATAAGAATGGTTGCCCAAAAACAACAAGCAAAAAAGTACTACAAAAAAAAAGGCCAAAATACGACCACTCAAAGTCGGAGACTATGTTCTCAAAGCCAAAACACTAGCGAGCAAAGATCCGAAAGAAGGCAAATTAGGAACCAATTGGGACGGGCCATACAAAATCACAGCAGCGGCAAGCAAAGGAGCATTCCAACTAGAAATAATGGAAGAAAAACTACTACAAAACAATTGGAATGTCGCCCACCTCAAATACTTCAACTTCTGAAAAAGGACGCCCCTCAAGTCGTACTCTTTTTCCCTCGGCCGGGTTTTGTCCCAATTGGGTTTTCTAGGGGAGGTTTTTAACGAGGCGACGTCTCAAAGTTCAACGTATAATTCATGGCCCCGCCTACCGATTGTTTCTCCAGGACGAACGATGAAGGGACTAGATACAAGGAAACTTCTCCAATATATGTATGAAATGGACATGTATAGTATTCTCCAATGAATGAAATAAAGCAACATTTTGTACTCTCCACCAAGATATTCTCCAATGAGTGAAATAAAGCAACATTTTATTCTCCATCATTTTTTAACATTCGACCTCGCTCGAATCAATAACATTCGACCTCGCTCGAATTACTTAACATTCGACCTCGCTCAAATCAATTAACATTCAACCTCGCTCGAATTACTTAACATTCGACCTTACTCGAATCAATTAACATTCGACCTCGCTCGAATTACTTGACATTCGACCTCGCTCGAATTACATAACATTCGACCTCGCTCGAATCACTTAAGACGCTCTCACAGCAATAGAAAATAACAATTCGGGGGTATACAACAAAAAGGTAATCATTTCATTACAACTGTTATGTTACAAAAGGCTTTTTACAAAGGGCCCGAAGACGCCTCACAAAAATAGCAAGGCAAGACAAAATAAAAACAATGGCCCTATGCCACGTCATCCCTCGCGACATACTCCTCATTATACCAAGAATCGGAGGCAAGCCTGTCAGCATCATCATCGACATCGTCCCCGCCAGGCATACCGGGATCGTAACCACAGGCCTCGCGGGCCGCACGTGCTTTAACACGAACACCCTCGAGTTACGCCTTGGAAACCTTCCCGTTAGCATTCAGGGACTTGTACACGTCAAGCTGAGCTTCAGCATGAACCCACATCTCATACAACTCCCGTGGCACAACGGGATCAGCAGAATTATGAGACGTAGATGGTTGCAACTGCCGTCGCACTTCCTTTGTCTTCAAAGCAACATCCTGTTCGTTCAATCCGGAAAACTCTGCCTCCAGATCTTGGATCCGCTCTTCTAACCTGGCTACCTTGAGCGCCGACGTCTCTACCTCATTATCCCGTTCAGACCTACAAACATGGAGGGCATCATCCAGGGCTGATACTTCAGAAACGGCGGCCACCCTGCCTTTTTCGGCATGAGCCAATTCCTCAGCCTTAGCACTCAACTCACCCTTCAGATCGACAGCCTCCGCCTCCCTTCACCCAAGCTCAGCAGTTAAGTTGGCCACCCGCGCCTGAAGATCGGCGTTCTTGGCCATCACCCCTTTGCTCACCTCGAGCTCTTAATCCTTAGCCCTAAGAGCCACCTCAAGTTCACTGCATCGACCTATGGCCTTCATCAGCTCATTTTCCCGCTCTTTCAGCTCTTCGACTTTCTGCGCCACCTCTTTCTCCTTTTGCTGAAGCCCGTCACAACTGAAAATCACTATCTTGAGTGAAGACATCAGCCAACGCATGGTGCTTGGTGTTGTATTCTTTGTACTTGGAGGCCACCTTCCCAAAAACGGTCGTCCTGCATTTATTCCTCCGGTCGCGCTCGATCTCCATAATAAGAGTCTGGCATGCAGAGGAAAGAAAGTCAGCATAAGTAGGTTACGCATGCGAAACAAATCCTAACAGGAAAAAGAAAAGAAAAACACTTACTCGCAAAGCCATGCCAAAAATACTCCGCGATAGCTCCGCGTCACTCATCGCCTTAAGCGCCGCATTCTCGGAAGCAGAACACAAGGGAGCAAATGCGGACACTGCCTGCTCAGATTTTGCCAAAAGATCGTAACCCACGGGAATGATTACGTGTCGGTTAAGACCCTCTGTCCTTACCCACGCGGGTATTTCTCTCCAAAAAGGCCCGCACATCTTCAGGGTCAATATCCGAGCCTGAACCATCGCCCTCCGCGAGCACTGCTCCATTCCCTCCGGCAGCCGACGACGCGCCACCTTCAGCAGCCCGTACAGATCCTCCACCTTGGCATGTCTCTTGGA